TGTTGGTCCATGTGGTGGGCAGTGGTACCAGTGACCTAACCATTGTAAAGATTTTTATAAGCATCATGACAAAGGAGAAATTTAAGGAGCTTTTGCAGCATCTTGGCTGACTTTGTTGGGGTGGATATTCTTTTATTATCATTCATATGAATTAGTGAATGTATAAAATTATTAATATATCTACATACAGGCACACAATTGTGAGATTACACATACCCAATCTTGGGGAGTGTTCAGAATCAAAGCCCAGATCTAGAATTTGCAAATGATCCCCTGTATTTGTAACAGGCCAAAACTAAAACCCTGAATTGAAATACTCCTATACTTTGGATTATTTGAAATCCTGTTCTAAATTCTGAATAGTTTGAAATTCATTTCTGAATTTTTTGTCTATAGCCTGTCTCTAACTATATATTTTCTTCCCTTTTTCTTGGTACCGAATGGGTCAGATCTTCAACTGGGCAAATGTGCACAGCTCCACTGAAGTCAATGGTGCTATTCCAGTTTATACCAATTGAGGATCTGGCACAATATGTTGCTCTGATTTCAGAACTTCTTTCATATTTATATGCAGACAGATTAAAAACAAAGAGTCAGCAGTGTTCATTCTGTAACAAGAAAAGTACAGGTGTGGGGGATGGTTTTGTGTGTATGATGATTATTAAATAGGCAAGATAAAAACAACTGAATATTAAAATAGGGAAGATAAATAAGAATCAATCAGAGATAAAGTGTGCCCATATCCATCTTGGGTTTATAAACTTGCCCATGGAATCTCTATATAATGACTGTTACTTGTATTTGAATATGACTATGACTGTAAATCAGTTTCCACATGTAGGGTCCAGGAAACATGCTGAGGCAAGTTGGTGTCTATGTTCCTTCCTACTGTCAGTCAAACTAGGACAACGATATTCTATTGCACATTCTGCTCCCTTTGTAGCAGGATGCCAAGCTCACCTGTCATGGGCTGTATCCTCCCAGGTCATCAAGTCCATCCCGGCAGACTGTATGTGCCGCTTGATGCAATCCTTGTAGTGGAGTTTGGGATGGCCAACCTTCCTATTGCCTTTTTTAAAGAACTCTCTTAGGCAGTCTACTGTTATCCATACGTATGACATGGCCGACCCAAGTCATTTGCCTCCACGCTTAGCTTAGCTTAGCATGGCTGCCAGTACTACCTCACAATGAAGTACTACCGATGGGATCTCTATGAGTAACATATAAGCTCTAATTGTACTTTATTTGGCCATTGAACTATCTAGCCTTTTCTGAATTGGTTTTTAATGTATCTACCACCCTTTTGTATGGCTGAAAGGTTATTTTTATGTATTTCAGTGTTTGGCATTGGAATAAGACTAAGGACCACAGGGCTATAACTTAATATCTTTGGATAATATTAGGTATTTTCTAAATGTTTTGGCCACTGAAACCAAGTACAAGAGAAATTTGAATGTTCTGAAGCTTTACACATTGATTTGGGTCAATTAGCCAATGTGTCAATGGACAGTATTTTAATTTTTGTTGTGTAAATGTAGTACATTTTAAAACTTCTGTTGAATTCATTTCAGTTCCTAACAAATTTGGACTTTTGAAAATCAGGCCACTTTTATGTAATCTAAATATAGGTTTACCTAAAGCCATTAGGTAGCTAGGTTTGAAAATTTTGATCAATAATTAGCAGACACTTTACTGATTATACTTTTATTTTAGAAGCAGTGTTTGGCATAGAATAATATGGCATATAGTTATAGTTAAGATCAATATAATTGTATTCATGAAAGTAACATTTAAGATTAATATCCAGGAAAAATCCTGAATTGCAAGTATTAAACTGAGAAAAGTTGTGGAAAGCCCATTTCTTGGAACATTACAAACTTGACTGGAAAAAAAATGTTTGCAATCTATGGTAGATAGCAATCCTAAATTGGCTAGGAGATGGACTCAATACAAGTCTTTTCTACCTCCAGCTTGTTTGACTTTTTGACTCTACAGTGAAAGACTTCATTAAAGCCCTGCATTTTGTTCAAGAAGCTCTTGTTTTAATGCTCTTCTAAAACAGCGGTAGTTTGACATGACAGGCAGAGATATATTGTTGCCTCGGGATGCTTTTCTTCTTTTGATTGATTGCTGAATGGCTGAAAAATTAATTTTGGCATCTTTCCCTGAATCGCTTGATGTGCATTAATTTCGTTGCTTGAATTCATATTATGATAAGGAATATATATTCAAGACAGAAATGTATGCCACAGCTTAAAAAACCCAAAACTCTTAAATATACTGTAATGCTTTTTACATTAAAAATATACAATCCTCTACCACCTTCAGGGTGTAAAGCTTTACACATAGTCTCAAAACAAGTTGGCTGGATTCTAGTCAAGCCATTTGATATGGTGGGCCAGTACTTCAATCACATATTTTACAGCAGTGATAAGTTGTTTACTTTGTTGGGTATCTTATTGAATCTGGCTCACGTATAGCTGATGGAAGTGGTATAAATGCCATTTATGTTCCCCTGCCATCCCACCTCCAGCAGAAGGGGGAGAAAGGAGAAGGCATGGCAGAGCCAAGTTCCACAAACCCAAATCCTCGGTTGATAAGGGAGCTTATTCCATTAGTGCCAGCAATGTAGATTAGAGCAGAACCTCTCCTATTGTAATTTACACTGGGGCAGGGCATCCCTGAATCAGGAAGTCACAACCAACTCTCTGCAACTGCCCTCTCAGTTGTGCATGAGCAGCTCAGTGTAGCAAAGAATCAGGGTTATTGTTCTTTGCAGCATGTGTGTAATGAACCCCAAGAAAATATAACATTTTATGAATCAATACTGAGATTTTGAAAGCTGTCTAAGGGAATTAGATATCCCAGTCCTACTAAAATCAATCAGAACTTGCCACCCAAATTCCCTAGGTGACTTTGAAAATCTCAGCCAAAGAGCTTCACAAAAATGCCTTCTACTTCATCTCATATCAAAGCTTTTCTGTACCCATTGGCCATTACATCTGAAAATCTCTCTGTTCTCATAGTCTCTGCTGTGTGATGCATATCATAATAGGGATGCCGGTAAGAATGGAGTTAGGTGTTCATATTTGCTTATTAATGTTTCATTGCAACATGACGAGAATTTTCTTGTGGCACAGGCTCAGTTTAAAAGAAATGTTTCCATGATCTGTAAAAATGCATGTTGGATCAGCAGTTTTAAATCCACCCTTTCTCAAAAGGCATGAAATTGCTACTTTCTGTTTCCTTGTGTATTGTGCAATTGCATATCCTCCGGTTAGTGACAGTAACTTGCTGCGATGTCAAAAAAAATGTTTCATATATCATTTCCCCTACTCTGGTGTAGCTGGCAAGTTATTTTGGTTACTCTTGTGTCACAGCTTATTAATCTCACCCCCAAGGAGCATATGTTCTCACTGTTCATTATTACTGTGTTGATGATATGTCATGTGTATAATTCTTGCAATCATGAAAGGCTCTGTTTTTGATAACACAATTCGCTAATAGTCAAAGGACTAATTATATGAAGGGATGTCCTATTGTAATTGAAACTTTTAAATATTTTAATGGAAAGTGATAAACAAACTATGCAAATAGACGTTTTGGTAGTGATGCCTATGATTTACATACACAGGTATGAGGAGGTGGCGTACCAGGTGCAAAAAAAAGACCCAAGTTATCTGATTCACCTCTCTGGTCCATATGGACCTGAATTTTAGAGGCGCTGAGTCCCTGCAACTCCCACTGAAGGCATGCAATTTTGGCGAAAGGCTGCAGGAGCATCTTTGGGGAACCGTGTCTGTAGCCCCCCTTCTCAGTTTCTGTGGGCAAACCTCAGTTTGAATGGCAGGCCATTTCCAACAAACGTTATATATGGGGTCAGACTGGGGGTTCTGCTACTGAGATTTCAGCAGGGATAGAGAGTTTGAAGGGATGCTCTACCACCACCAGAGAGTAACTTTGTATTTGGGCCCCAAAATTCTAAAAATACTCCTGAAAGCATACCTTCCTAAGAGCTCCTTAGGAGAATCTGCTGTTGGACACAGGTCATGGCACCTATCTTTATTATTGAACTGTCCAAGTGTAAAAGTGTTGTTTGCAATGTTGTTGTAGCCATGTTGATCCCAGAATATTAGAGAGACAAGGAGGGTGAGGTAATATATTTTATTGGAACAACTTTTGTTGGTGAAAGAGTTTTCAAGCTACACAGAGTTCTTCTTCAGGTCTGGGACAGGGAACCAGAATGTCACAGCTAAATATAAGGTGGAATAGATTGTTTATGCTAAATCTGTTCCACCTAGTATTTAGCTGAGTACTTTTCCCAGACCTAAAGAAGAGCTCTCTGTAGCTCAAAAGCTTGTCTCTCTCACCAACAGAAGTTGGTCCAATAAAAGACATTACCTCACCCACCTTGTCTCTCAAGAGTCAAAGGTCTTTTGTGCAGTATCAAAGTTTCTCTCACACTGCAGTACCAAAACAATGGACATACTTTTTTAAAAATTTTATTGATCTAGTTGTTCAGACAGTTCATGATACAGCAGCGAGATGGGGTGGGGGGGGGGAGAAAAGCATTAGAAATTATGGTGATGATTGATAAATACTGGCCAAGTACTAAAATCTTCTGAAATCAAGTGAAACTTTACACAAACATGGTCAAATTATAAAATATTTCCACATATTCACAGAATTTTCACAAAACAAAATCAGGAACTTTTTTGCCTAACTCTTTCCACAGCTTTAATTCAGCCACTATTGTAATGTATTTGCACAAAATCCCAAAGAAATCTAAGTAGACCAGTACTTAATTTTTACTTTGCATTGTTTATTGGTGTTCAATGGAACCCTGCTAACCAAATATTAATTGTCAACAAAAAAACCCAAAAAAACTGGACTACCAAATTCAACTAACTAAAAATTGATTCATGTGAAATCCACTGGTTATATTTTTGCAGAAAGCATTTTTTTATTCACGATGCTGCATCTGTGTTTCTTTTTCTTAGATTGAGGAGGATACGTGGCAGAAATACTATCTAGAAGGAGTCTCAAATGAAATGTATACAGAATATCTATCTAGTGCCTTTGTGGGTCTGTCTTTCCCTGCAGTTTGTGAGTAAGTAGATATATATTAATTGTCATAAATTCCTTGCCTGCTCTCAAGTGAAATCAAAGGTTTCCATAGGAGGCATTTCCACTCTGTTACAATCTCAATATCATTGCCTCCTCAGATGGGATCCAGTAAAATAAACATTAAAGCAATCACTGTATGGAAGTACTCCAAACATTTTAATGTCTGTTTCCAGAAGAGACTTAGAACTAAGTGAACATTAACGAAAGACTAAATGCCAAGTATGTTTGAAAAAATTAATCAGCAATCCGTTTAAAGGGAATTATTTGTTCATAACTGGTGTCCAATTGTTTCTTCTAATAGTTCCAATTCTTTGGATGGTGCTTGTCAGCGTCACCCTCTTGATTCTTGCCCAATCTCAAAACAATTATTCATTAATGTGAACAGCTGTAAAGGAGTTGTATATACTGTAGGAAGAGAGTCATTTAACACATCATAGAACTGCCTGAAAAATACTTTGAACAAACATAACTTCTGCCAGCAAAAAGAGATCTATCTGACAATGAAAGGGGAACATGTGGGGCATTGACTGAATAGCCATGCATAGTCCGTAGGAGAGTCTTATGCCTTACTCCTACTGAGGACTGAGTAACCTTTTATCTATCCAGGAAGTGCTCTGTCAGAAAGAAGTGAAAGTGCACAAGGCCACAATGATAGACATATCCACTCCAAACACTTGCAGAATAATTTAGGCCCATCAGGTTTCTATTATTGATGATGATGATATTTTCTATTTGAGTCACATCAAGAGGTCCCACTGTGTTAGGCACTGTTTACAGTCTAACTAGACAAGACAGACAGGGTGGGAGGGGAGATAGAGTCACAGAGAGGTGAAGTGACTTGGCCCAAGGTTACGTAAGAGATCAGCATCAACAGATCCTCAGGATATCTGAGTCCCAGTCCAGTCTGGCCTTATCCAGTAGGCTATGATGACTCTCAGACCTAAATCTCATGATGACTCCATTCTTTCAGTTGAGACCAGGAGAGAGTGGGAGGGGCCAGGTTTCCAGGGAGTCACTTGCTCTTCTCCTCTAAGGTAGAGTGACATTCTTTTTACATCCTTGCTTCTTTTCATGTAGAGTAATATCACCATAGTTTACAATATAATCCATGAGTGAGAGAAGCAGCATGATAAACAAGTGATGGAGCTTTGGTCATAAATAATTTCTGAGCGTATGTAGATTTAAACTAATCCAGACCACAAGTCAATGGGGATTTGTGTGAGGAAGGGGTTCACAATCCAGCCCTTAGTTTCCAGGGCTTGTGACTGGCTTATTAATAGCTAGTGTTTGTTTACCCTGAAAATTGTATCAGAAAATGTCTTCCCCTACGTCAAATGCACTAAACAGAAAATCACAAAAGCTACCATTCTACATGGTATTGAGCGAAGCCTAATGTGCACTGTCCCCATGAACCAAGTTACAGGAACAAAATCTCCAAGCAAAACCTTTGCCAAACCCAGTCAAGTTTCTATATGGTTCCTAGAAAAAGGTAACAGAGAATGTATTTAGCATAGAGCTATCATTCATTCAACACACCGATAGAGCGGAGGTAGAATAATCAATAAAGAAAGGCTATTTAATGAGATTTAGGAACATCCCAAAACATTTGAGCTCTACTCAGGCATTTGATTATCTAGAGGCTTAATTATCTGTGTTTCCTAGTTTAAATTAAAGAAAAAGATATAACTCAAATATACCAGCAGTATAATGATAACACTATTCAATTCAGGTTAATTAAAGCATAGTGGTAATTAGAGTGTAGTGTTGTATATCACTGCGCTTGGCACATAAGTATTTTCATTACAGTAAAAAGTGTCTATTCAATTTCAGATGACACATAGGACACCAAAATGTGCTTAAAACTGGTTTGTGAAAAGGAAAAAGAATTGGTGGACACTCTGAGTACAATCAACTATCTGCAAAATATAGAGACATTTAGAGCAATGTTTCCCATCATGCAGGGATCTTAAACAGCATGCAGCTAATGACATTTTAAAACATGGAAACTGGATGCAATGTGCTGCCCTTGTGGGCTCTTGGTTTTCATTACTAGTTTGGTAGATTTTCAGCAAACCAGAAACATAACTGCTTGGTGGATGGTGTGACAGGGTGCTATCAGCAGCACCCTGATCACTGGCATTGCTACAGCCTGGAGAAGCCTGCCGGCCCAGCTGAGGGCAATTCCACACTTTCTGGTTGGGATTGTGAGCACCTGGGTAACAATCACAGGGCTAACAAGGTAATGGGGGAGACTATAAGGAGAGGAAACAGGAAGCAAGGGGCAGCTCCAGAGGAGCTCAGAGAGTGAGCCTGGGCTGGGGAGCGAGGGCTGTAGGGAAGCCTGTCTTTGCGCTAAGCCTGTTGCATGGTATTGTTATGTCCGAGAGAAATAAATGCACACCGTGGTGAAAGACAAACAGCCGAGTGTGCATTTGTGACTGCAAATCCATCAAACCTGGCTAGGCAGCAAGGTTCACCAGGTAGCGACAGAGGTGCCCTGTGGCAAATGGGCTGCCACTCAGTCCAGACAACTGGATGCAAAAGGATGCAGAATTAGTGGTAGTTTCTATGGAGATAGGACATTAAACATTTTAGAAGCATCACCAGCTTTTTCCATTATTGTAAATGGACCCTCCAAGTCAGAAGGGGAGGGTATTCATAACTCATTGTGGAGGCTTTACCTGCTAAAAGATGGTGGCCAGATGCTACTGCACAAGTTTTATTCAATCTAGGGATATCCCAAGACTTGAACAAACAGAGATTCATAGCTGTAGGATTCTCCAACATTTTCCTCTTCAGTAGATTTCTTAATGCATCTTCTCTTCTTGTTTGCCAGGAGGGTCCTGTGAGTTCTCACTTCTCTCACAAGATTGGAGCCCATACATAGAAATTGCCATTAAAAAGTCAGTGTTTTCCAGTACTTTCTGCACCAGGGTATCTGACATACGGTGGTATGTCCCTACATTTAGGGTCTTAATTATCTTAACTGCAGTGTCTCAGATACTGTGGGGTAAGAAACACTGACCAAATGCTGTGCTGTTAATGGCAGCCCCTGTACATACCGTACAAACAGCTCCCATGTCCCTGACCTGTTGCTTATTCAACCTCGGTTTGATAGTGCCTGTTCCTGTATCACCAGCACAGTCACTATGGGTATGTCTTCACTGAAGCTGGGAGTGTGCCTCCCATCTGGAATAGACAGACTCTTGCTAGCTCAGTTCAAGCTCAGACCCACCCAAATCCTTTGATCTGAGCTTGGAGGACTATCCTGAGCCCCCATCAGTGCCACAACATCCACACGGCTATTTTTAATGTGCTGACTCAAGCCAAGGTAGCGTGAGTCTGTCTACCCGGGCTGAGAGGCATGCTCTCAGCTTTCAGTGTAGACATACCCTAAGTGCGTAACTCTTCCCAATAGGTGGAGTCATAGAGCTGTGCCTTCTCCCAGCAGCTGTACCCTGAGTCAATATACCTACTCCACTCCTACTTGCTTTAATTGGAGCTAGAAAGAGTTGTGCAACAACAGCCCCATAAATCAATTTGAGAATATGTAGAGGTCTTGGAAGACAGATATTCAATATATGGAACTCCCCCTTTTTGAATATATTACATCTGTTTGTGGAACCTATTACTTTACCTAAATATGAATGAGAGGGGGACTAGATTCCCCCACATTTCCCTTCATTTTTAGCCTCAAACTTACCAACCACATTTGCAGGGAAATGGTTAGCTAAGATTGTAAATTCTTTGGGACAGGGACTGTCATTTATTATTTGTTGCTCCTTTTTAACCACAGTGCCTAGTAAAAATTTTGGTTCCCAGGGGTGTTCCAGTAGGAAGTAGAAATTGGTGATAGCCAATTATTTTTTTGATATGATTTTGTTTATTTACAAGGAATCTACAAAGTCCTGTGTCTCTGAACGCAGAAGGAATCAAAAAGCCAGAAACTGCTTTTTCTTACAGCACCGAGAGAACAGTTTTCAGCTTGCACCCTGTGACATCAGGCATCAGCTCTGCTAGCTGGTGCACCGTCTTCTGGTGGTGTCTTGCCGCAGTCACTTATGCTCCAGAGACCCATGTCACTCCCAGGACCACGGCATCCTCTTCATGACACAGCCCTCTGGCTGTGCTGCACTCAGGGGACAGTATTGCAGTCCCTTAGTCCAGCCACTTCCTCAGTGGTGAGTGGAGGCGGGGTGGGGATCCGGGTCTGCCCACTACTCCGGGTCCCGGCACAGGGACCCTGTAGATGGCCGCTGCTTGCAGCGCTTCCTCCGACTCCTCAGTAGATTTCCCTGGTCACTTCCCTGTGGCCCTAGCATCCTCTTTGCCCTTGCCTGCAGATCCCTGCAACCTGCCAGGAGTTGCCTTTGGCTCCCCAGATCTCTGCCTGCAGCACTGCTCGGTCCGGGGTGCTTGCTGTCTTCAGCCTGCAAGGCAGCCAATCTATCTCCCTCCTCAAGGTCCAGGGAGTGACTGAAGCTGTTCTGCTCTGTAGCACTTCTTATATGGGCCAGCCCATCCCAGTGTGGGGCAGGCTCCTCAACACACACCCCAACCCAAAACCTTTCTCCAGGGTCAGCCACTGTGCTTTCAGCTGCTCCTTAAGGCTGTCTCTCTCCCTCAGTCTGTTTGTGTCCAACCTCAGGCCAGTTCTACACTATACACTTACTTTGGTATTACTGCATTGCTCAGGGATGTGAAAAATCCACACCCCTAAGTGATGTAGTTATACCAACTTTAATCCCCCCAGGGTAGACAGTGCTATGTTGGTGGGAGAGCTTCTCCTGCCAACATAACTACTGCCTCTGGCAGAGGTGGAGTTATTAAGCTGGCAGCAGAGTTCTTTCCCGTCGGCTTAAGGCATTTTCACCAGAAACATTTCAGTGGCGCAGCTGCATCAGCACAGCCAATGCAAGTTTGTAGTGTAGACCTGTCGTCAGTTTCTTTGTGATCTCCTTCTCCCTGCCCATCCATACCAAC